ATTATATAGACAACTATCCAAAATTACTGATTTTACTGTTTTAGTTATGTTAAAAGTGGAAAATCTTTAAAAAAAAATTTTTTTTTTATAATTTTCAAAGCAAAGTTTTTTGTTCAGGTCAGAATGGATGACTTTCAAAAATAAAAACTCCAAGTAATTGTTACTAATATATTTTTTTTAATATGTTTGGTTGTTACTTAGTTTGTGACATTAGATGAAAACATGAAAAATATATTGTATTGCGGTTTTTTAAATTTTCTATTAGTTCATATTTTTTTTAGTAGATTTTAATCGGTTTTTTGTTAATAATGGTAATATAAATGGTTATTAACGTATCATTATTGTTTAAATTATTAATTACATCAGCGTTGTATACAACATAGGTTATATAACATTATAATATTATACGATTAATTTATGGTTTCAAAACGAAAAATCAAAAAACAGTCAAGTAGTAACTAACCGTGTTGAACTATTAGCAGTAATATCTTAATTTTTCGTTCCTGACCAAATAATAAAATACATATTGTATAAACTATTGAGTATATTATCAATTTGTTTTTATTAGGGATTTTTTTTTTAGATTTTTTTACCGGAAAATATTTTTAAAATTATTACTCCGTGTCTAGAAATATGTTGGCGCTATTTGGACGGAACGTGGGTTTACTTAGACAAGCCGGGAGCGTTTTTTTAGGCAAATTTTTTGTTTGCTGTTCTATATTATTTTATTCTAACACACACACACTCGGTTGACAATATTTCTATTTGCGATGAACCGCATGCCGGGGATTGGCGCACATAATATCGGTTTCCGGGTATTATCATAATCGTAAAAAACATCCGACCGATAATTATTTTTACTATTGAACATGGTAGGTGTAAAAATATAATTCTTATTATCGCACAACAGCCGTTGTGCTGCCCACCAGCAGCCATTTGACCGACTAAAATTTTGAAGAAGAAAAAATTCAATTGTCGTGTCACCGCGCGCCATCTGCTAAGCATGTAAGCCCCGCCGCGATAGACTTGCCAGAAAACAATGCGAATAAAACAAAATAAAAAATTTATAATTATATATTATTACTATCAGAACTCCGGAGTGTGATTGTATGTCTATCCCGAAATAGCTACTGTGGGCCGGCTTGTTCGCACGACAACCTGTTAACCTTTGTGCGCCGGAGAATACACAGTAGCACATCTCTCTGTGATCTCTCAGTCATTACAGCCATTATGATGGGCGCATGTGCAGGATGTCTGACAATGCCGGTTCACAGCCTTGATTGGAATGTGTTTAGAGGCCTAACGGTTGCGGTTGAAGGGGGAGACAGAGCGGTTTGCTTATTTGCTGAAGGGCAAAAGGCGGGTGATTGCCAGGAATATTCCATCCGTTGGCATCGAACTGGCGAATATGACAATATTTTTGCGAGTCTCATTTGGAGTTTACAATTGCTCAACGGTGTCCAATCAATCTTGAGAGTTTGCAAGAATTTCGTCTTAGGCCGTCAGATAAAATGCAGTTAAGAGGGCGTCGCATCGGTGATTTTCAGTGGTAAAAACTTGTTTAAGCAGTCTGAAAATAACTCGCTTAATTTTGGTTTTAAAGTAAAAGCGCCCATTATAAAATTAAAAGAGAACAATATTCCGGAGGGTAAAACGGTGCGTTTTAAAAAAAAAATTAATTTTTTTGAAAGTTACAGTCATTTAAAAATGTTAAAATAGTCGTTATTTTTAAACTGTGTATTGAGCGCTATACTTGGAATAATGAAAAAAACGCACCGTCTTGCCCTCCGAAATATTGTTATCTTTTAATTTTATAATGGGTGATTTTACTCTAAATCCAAAATTAAGCTATAGAGTTATTTTCAGTCTGCTTAAACAAGTAGAGATGAAAAAACATTTTTAAATCGCTTTCAAGGATGATGTGATAGTCCAAAAAAATAAATTAACTACCAACATAGAGTCTTTGTTATTGAACTAATAATTGCACATCAAAGTTTAACCTTTAAATTAAGATTTTGTAAAAAATTGCCTATACTTTACTCCTTAAAAATGGGCGGTGCGACGCCCTCTTAACGCATTCATTTAATTCGACAAGTCTGCTAAATAAGCTCTGGACGGTTTTGAAATGGACTATACCCCGAATGGTCTTGATAATAACATGCATATGAGTCATTCCTGTGATTCGCTACAAGAAGGAATAGAATCTTTCTCTAAATTTCGCTTTTTCCATTGCAATTTCAAGGCTTTAAGGTCCGAAGAACTTAGATCTAGAAGAAGGAGGGGCTGTAACAGTACAGTTTTCTGCATAAATTCTGTTGACCACTTTTTATTTTTTGTAAGAAATGAAATGCAAATACTCGACTGCCGCTTAACCCCTTCTACCTTTCTGTCAAAGGGAGTTCCTTTGACCTAACCCACCTTTCAATACGGTTTCACCATCGAGAGGCATGCACGGCAAAAGGTCAGGAATGATCGGTTCGTGGGTTTTTTTTTTTTGTCAATTAGGACTTTTATATTCGATGAGATAAACCTCCTACCTAAAATAGGACCTAACCTAAAATACCATCAGTAATTCCTCGCTTTGAACAAGAAGAACTGATAACCGAAGCACCCGCCGAGTTTGAATAATATTGTCAACTTTAGATAAGTTTACAGAATACAATTTGTGTATATTTTATTGCAAATACAGAAACTTTACAAAAGTCAGCCCTAAGCAGTAAAATAGAACAGTTAGTATTTTGATGTCATATACAATATTATAAAACCACAATAAAATATAAAGTTTTCGAAGAGGAAACCTACAGAATATTGTAAAATCAGACCACAAAACGTTATGTTTTCAACGGAATATAACTCGCTATGGCTCGATGTTTAGCTAAATCAATAAAAGAACTTTTTTAAAAATTAAAAAATTAATTTAAAAATAATTATTCTCGGATTTTATCTAGCAAGCCAGTTAGAAGAAACAAATACCTACAAATTCTACAATAATTCAGTAAACCAAATCTTAGTTGAGTCAAGAAATAGAATAAAAAACTCTATTTGAAAAACAAATTTCACAAGCTGATTTTTTAAAGAAAATTATTCAAACGTACAAAACACTGAAAATAACTCAAAAGAAAATTGTTTTTTTTTTTTTAATTTGAGGAGATTATTTTTACATTATTTTCATTTTACATGTATTTAAACTATTTTCTATACCTACTTGTTCGATTTTCTACTGCGGTATAGTTTGAAATACAAATTTCTGGAAATATAAATTTTTTTTTACTATTGTGTTCATTGTAGTGTTGGACATTATTCGAATAATTACTCTTATCGCTAATCTCTTATCATCTGTTTCTCATCACGTATTTCTTACAACTGTCTCTTATCACTACTCCCTTATCAGCTGTCACTTATCAAACGTAATCGATTTTGTACCGCGAAAAAGTCCACACAACTTTTGAATTGATCCTACAGGCTAAAAGAAATTCCTTTATTGCATTGTTTTCAATGAAAGATCGGATATAGATTGTTTTGGTTTGTCATCTAAGACATTCGGGCTTTGCTTTAGTATACAAAAAGGCACGTTTTGTACATCACAATTATTAATGGAACCGTTAATTTTAGGGGTGTGTATTACTTAGGCAATTCAAATACCAAACGAGGAAAAATATATATTATTTTTTAACTCTATGCATATATTTTCATAGTTAAAGGTGGTATAATATTTTTTTTTTATTCTCAATACAAACCGAGTACACAGTTCATGTTGTAATGAGAACACTTAACACCGCATTGAAGGCGATCGATTTCATTCATACAAAATAAATTACACAAATTATTGAAAAAAATAAAGTAAAGAAGGATAACGTTCAGAAGTGTTTGCGTCGAGGAAACGTGTTAGAGTGTAATAATAATATTTTATTATTGTGTTTGAGTGTATTGATTAAAAATATATTGCTGTCGTTTGGTAAAAATATATGTTTTTGCAAAAAGGACACACAAAGTAGTGAAATGGGTTGTCAGGTCCTGTAAACAAAAACAGTTATCAATAGATAAACTAATTAACTTAATAGTTTATCGACATTTTCTCAGCCTACACAATTCTTACCTAAATAACAGAATAATGATTTTGTTGAATAATGATTTTTTTAATACTTTTTTGTTTACAATATCAGATCAATTCAAATAATTTTATTGTTATTTTAAGAAAAACTCCTAGGTATTTACTATCAACATTTTATTTTTCAAATATGATTAACTTGTTTTTTTTTGTCAATTTTATTAGCTGGACTCTCATTGAAATACCTACGTCTTAAATAAAACAATTTTTTTTTAAACTAGACTGAAAATAAATTTGATTTTACTAATATTATTATTAGTGCGACCAATAAATGTTGCAATTGAACCAAAAATAATATGTAAATACCATTATTAATTTTATCGTTTTGTTTAGGTTTCACTTTACAATCGAATATTATTATTTTCTTTTTTTTTCTCTATTAAAGCCTGTTTTTTAATATTATATTGTGTGATTGATTAAATTGTGTACCTTCTCATTTCTCCCATTTAGATATTATATTTTATTAATTACTGCCGTTGGCCTAACAATAAAAAAAAAGTAATAACAATATCGTTAAGGAAAACTGCAAAAGTAATGAAAATTTATATATTTCTTCCCTTCATAAAACTGACGGAGGATCAAATACTAAAACGTTATTATTTGTATTATTATTATTATGAAAGTTTATTATTCATTTTTAAGTTAACTCGAAAAACATTAGCTATTTTACCACTATACTATTACTATAACTCGTCAACAAGTTAACTTGATAACACTTTTTAATTGAAAAAAGAAAAATAATGTAATTTTTTGCGTTCAAAATAAATGTCTGAAGTGAAAAAACCCATAATCAATTATATATAGTTTCAAAGTTATAGATAAAAAAAAAAGATAAAAATATTACAGTGAATGTAATATTATTATTATCAAATTAGTACAGCCATTTAACTGGTTCACTCCGGTCGTTGACTGTGTAAAACACTCAATTTTTAAGTTATAACTTCAATCCATAATATTGTTAAATATCAATAGTACAAAAAAAAAAAATCCAATTGGGGTTTTGTTAGATCAATTTATATTTTATTAATTATGTCATACCAATACGGTTTCTAGATCCTGCGCTAAACGGCATGGATCCATTTAGGTGTCGATCGATACACTGTTCTGGTAAAAATCGATCTGGATTAAATATTTCTGGGTTTGGATACATTGACTCGGCACGATGCATTAAATGAATTGGAATGACTACAGGGACATTCTGCAGGTATTATGTGGTTTTCTTAAGTATAATAATACTTTGATGACTTTAAGCCTTGTATGGAAATGAAGTTTTTGAGCATACTATGGCTGGAACACTGGGGTAAAGTCTCGTGGTTTCTTTTTATTACTCGTTCCCCTACCTGTATGGCTATCATCTTCCATTGTGGCATCTCGATCAGTGTCACCGAATATTCCCTGAAGCCCTTCACGGATGTCGTCTTATATACGTCAGGAGTAATATAAATAGGTGATAAATGTTTTTTTTTTGTTGGGCATTATTTTCAAAGAACTGTGTGACTATATTGACATACACACATTAACTTATTAAGATTACCAATAAAATTAGCGACGGTATTATGGGATTAGGTATTCGGTAAAAATCTACATAAATATAAATGTCACGAATTTGCTGTTATCCTAAATTCTAAGTAGTAGTTTAAGTTTGTATATCCCACTATCAACAATTAAATACATTAATTGATTAATTTTTCAATATCATATAAAAAAATTACCTAAACTTTACTACCTTAATTTACATCACCGCCTAAAAAAGGCTTCAAACTGTGTTCAATAAATAAAAAAGATTATTTATTAATAAATAATTTGTAAAATATGGACCAAAACTGTTCATATTTCGTTGTAGATAAGTTAAATATACATATTAATAAACTAAGCACCTGGATGTTTTGATTCATGCCGATGTGAATCAATTTCATTGTCATAGCTATTGAAGATGTATCGTGTCCTTCAAATAGAAAAGTGTCTACTTCTTCCTGAACGTTAGCATCTGTCATTGAATTTGGATGTTCTTTGGAAATTCTGATTAATAGGTCGAGGAATGAATACACTTTTTTGTTTCTCTAAATAATTACAGTGTTTTAAATGATGTATACCAAAAATAAATAGTAATTATAAATAAACAAAACTTTAAACCCTTAGTCTCGGCAATTAGGTTTTTTTGGAATAAATAAGTTTTTGTTTTCTTTCTTGAATAACCTAAAATTTGATATGCGTTAAAAATAGCACAAGAATATTATGTTGTGTATGACTGTCGAATATTTAGTACTTTAATTACATTTTTACTAAAGGTATGTAGTACTTTTAACGATTTATAAAAATCTCTACCGCTAGTACTGACGTTGAAAATCGTGTCGCTCCAAAGCCAAATTGTGAATATTCTTTTCATAAGTATATGACCAACGCTAGTAAAATAAAACATGAAATTATTCCTGCTTTTACACTTTGAGCAGGTTAAGCAGAGTAATAAATATAATATATGCAAATTACTAATTTTCGTTCACAAAAAAAAAAATCAGTCCATCAAAGTAGTGATATATTTTACATTGTGGCCAAGTCTGATATTTCTTTAGTACATAACATAACTTCACTCGCACTTTCATGAGCCATCTGTTTTTTTTTTTTATATTGCTCAACACTTGGCCAGTTTCTGAATGTGACACAGCCTTTCTAGATGTGAACTTAATGCTTCATACATTATATTTTAACAATATAATCAGGGTTGGATTTATGGGATTAAGTGTGTGGTAAAAATCTACATAACTAGGAATTTGGGGAGTCTTCATTATGCTTAACTTTCTATAGTGGTTAAAGTTATTTTATTTGTCGATGTCCCGGCAAGGCTTTGCACTAAACCGTTTGCATGCTTGTGGGACTCATAAGTCAGTAACTCTCATCGCGTTTGCCATTTCTCATCTAGAACATTACAGTATTTAATATTCGACATAGGCAATTAGGCAAAAGATCATAGCAGTGCTGGTCAGAAGCCCTTTGTTCAACCCGGGATGGACCATTCTGTAATCCGGTACTTTGGCAATATGTTGAGTACAGGAAAATATTATCTCTTAGACAGCAAAGTATTTCTTCTAATATCAATAATTAGGCACATTGTAATTAACGCAAACCTGTATGTATGGTCCAACTTCGATTTCGTTCATTAACTTGTTTACAACATAATGTAGCAAACAACTAATCAGTACATGCAATTAATTACGCTCGTTTTATATTTAATTTTAGATACAAAAAACCAAAGTCAAAGTCAAACGTCCTGGCTACCAGGTAAGAATAATCCTATGGAAAATAGTGTTTCCAATGCAAATGAATTTGAACTTTATTAGGTCAATATTTATTTTAGCATAACATTGTAGGACTACATGCGATAAGAAGAACACAGTTAATTAAAGTTTACAAATAACAATTTGATTATGTATGCATAACACGGTGTGTCTTATATGATATGATAATGATAATTTATTACTGATATTTGTAAAATCACGTAGAGATCACTTATAAATAAACAGGTATTTGCTTGACTTTAGAACAAAATTTTTTGACCTAGAGAAAATGTTATTTTAGTCGGACGTCAATGGTTAAAGTGTTGTACCATAATAATATAATATAGCAGCCCAGATTTGTTTTAAACAATGACACAATGCACAATGATTTGACACTCAAGTTGTTAAATTCAAAATCCATTCAAAGCACGTCGGTCTCAAATCTTAAGTACCTCGGTTATGTGTTTACATGATTGAAAAATATTGTTACATTTGAATAATCGACTAGCATCTAGGACCAAACCTAACCCACAAGCGTTATATGATTTCGTTGAGGTTGGTGGTTTTGATAAATTCTCGTGTGTTGCAGATGTTTGACGGTTCATTGTTAGGCATTTGTATCACTTATTTATACTATTTATGGCCTATTTAATCAACAAACAATTATCGTTATAATTATTTTTAATATAATACTATTCTATTTGAACTTGTGCGTATCTTGATAATGTATATTGATGTACAAATAAACAAATAGGTTATTTTTATTTCTCAACAACTAACATTGTGAGCAGTGCAACAGTGTGTGATTCCATACCAGCGTTAACAGTTCTCTGATCATCCATAGTCATCTCGCAATGAACTGGCTGAGCATATTCTCCGGGTTTTTGGCTTCAGGTTCTTCCACAATAATATGGACATTGATTATCATATTGCTGACTTCCGGACTGTACATAATGTATCAGGACAAACGGGCGATCGAACGTCGGAAACAAATATCTCTACTACCGAGTATAACAAAAACCCACTGGGAAGTACTCAAGCACACATGGCACGCCGCTGGCTTGAGTCCTAAAGGTAATAGTTTTGTAAAATATTAAGAACTTTTCAATTTTTTAGTGGATGCCTAGGATTTAAAATTAATAGAAGAAAATATATAGTTTTAATTAGAAACATTAGTATTAAATATGAAGTTAACATTTTAAACGGAGAAGATCATTTTATAGCTATAGCCATAGCTCTACATCTATAGCTGTAAACTACTTAGATTTACTTTAATTTTTAAATTTACTTGAAATTTTTCATGCGTTAAAATTCAGCAATCAAAAATTTAGTCTGAAAATTTCAGCTATGATACCATATTTCACCAGCGTTCTTAAAACAGTCGGACCACTGGTGCATTTCAGTGCTATAATACGTGACTACATCATTATATGCGACCCAGATGACATAAAGGTTTGCGTTAATAACAATGTTCCTAATTCTTAATACAAGACGAAATACTTTATTGTCTTATAGATATTATTGTCTAGTACTCAACATATTACAAAAGGACCGGATTACAGGATGCTCGAGCCCTGGTTGAACAAAGGGCTTCTGACCAGCACTGGTATGATCCATCGCCTAATTGCCTACGTCGATTATTAAGCGGTCGCTATATTTTATGATTAAATACTGTAATGTTCTAGATGAGAAATGGCAAACGCGAAGAAAGCTACTGACTAATACATTCCACTTCAAAATTTTAGAAACATATATACCAGCTTTCAACAAGCATGCAAACGGTTTAGTGCAAAACCTAGCCAGGGCATCAAAGAACGACCAACTTGTCACGAACTTAGACTCTCACGTGACTCTATGTGCATTAGATATTGTATGCGGTAAGTTGAGTTTCGCGTTACCTACAGCCTTGTAGAAGAGAGAGAGTGTTGATTTAGTTGATGTAGTACTGACGCTGGCATTAGTTTAAAGATGAGTAAATGATAGATGCATTGCTCACAATAACTTAATCACTGCATACCAATAACAATTTTTTCAAAAAGTTATTGCTATTTTTTTTTTTAACCTTTATACAATTTTTCTTCAACATACTATCATTCAAAAATCATATATTTGATGATTGTTAGGTTATATAATACCACTCTAGATTGATTTTATAGAAACCATAACGGGCGTGAGCTTGAGATCTCTGAAACTTTCTGCAATTTTCTCAAATTAGTACCGCAAAGGCACTGATTAAGACTATCAATGGTTGTTTTCTTGATTTTCTACAACAATCATATCCACATTGTGGCCAAGTTTGCTCTTCACTTATACTTTCAAGAGCAACACGGTTTTTTTTTTTAATTGCTTAACACTTGGTCAGTTTTTGAATGAGGCATAAAACAACATAGGAGTTATGTGGGTGATGGGAATGAGAAAACTCGGAATAAAAGAAAAAAGTTTCACAATATTATTATACTTAATATTTCTACACAAGCAACATTGAGCTAAAAGATAACAAATTGCTAAGTCAATGCAATACTTGAACGGCAGTATTAAGTTCAGATCTAAAAAGGCTGTGTCTCATTCAAAACCTGACCAAGTGTTGAGAAAAATAAATAAAAAAAAAAACAACAGAATACCTAATGGAAGTAGGAGTAAAGCGAGTTTATGTACTAATGAAAGAACAGACTTAACCACAATGTAAATACCTCATTTTTGATGGGGTGATTTTTATTTGTGTGCAGAACATGGCTTTTTTTCACGGTTAGGTTCTTGTCGAGAGTCGTATAAACCTTTCTTGATTGATGTTATAGAAACAATACTGGGCGTGAGCTTAAGATCTCAAGAAGGACAATCCATCGATTATGTTAAGGCAATAACAACGTAAGCAAATTAGTAATTTGCATATATTATATTTATAACTCTGCTTCAGCTGCTCAAAGTGTAAAAGCAGGAATAATTTTGTTTTATTTTACTAGCGTTGGTCATATACTTATGAAAAGAATATTCACAATTTGGCTTTGGAGCGACACGATTTTCAACGTCAGTACTAGCGGTAGAGATTTTTATAAATCGTTAAAAGTACTACACACCTTTAGTAAAAATGTAATTAAAGTACTAAATATTCGACATTTATACACAACATATCATTGTGCTATTTTTAACACATATCAAATTTTAGGTTATTCAAGAAAGAAAACAAAAACTCATTTATTCCGAAAACCTAATTCCCGAGTCTAAGGGTTTAAATTTTTGTTTCTTTATAATTACTATAAATTTTTGGTATACATGATTTAAAATACTGTAATTATTTATAGAAAGAAAAAAAGTGTATTCATTCCTCGACCTATTAATCGGCATTTCCAAAGAACATCCAAACTTAATGACAGATGCTGACGTTCAGGAAGAAGTAGATACTTTTCTATTTGAAGGACACGATACATCTTCAATAGCCATGACAATGGCATTGATTCACATCGGCATGAATCAAAACATCCAGGTGCTAAGTTTATTTATTTATTATTTAACTTATGGAAAACGAAATATGAACAATTTTGGTCAATATTTTACAAATTATATATTAATAATTAATTTCTTTATTTAATGAACATAGTTTGAAGACTTTTTTAGGCGGTAATGTAAATTAAGTAGTAAAATTTAGACAATCCTTTTTTAAATAATATTACATTTTACAACTAAAATCTTCGAAGTCATGTATTAATAAGTATTATTCAATATAATCCAAAAAAAAAAAAACAATTATCACCTATTTTATATATCTCCTGACACATATAGAACGGCATCCGAGAAGAGCATCAGGGAATAAAAAAACAAAAACTACTACCTACTACGCATTTAGGATAATAGCAAATTCGTCACAGTTATATTTATGTACATTTTTAACGCATATCTAATCCCATAATACCATCTTTTAATTTATTGATTAATCCTAATAAGATACTATGTGTCTATCAATATAATCACATAGTTCTTTAAAAATATAACTCATCGCCTATTTTATATAATTTCTAAAATTTATAGGACGACATCCGAGAAGAGCTTCAGGGAATATTTGGTGACAGTGATCGAGATGCTACAATGGAAGACCTTAAATCCATGTCGATTTTAGAAAGAGTAATAAGAGAAACCATGAGACTTTACCCCAGTGTTCCTGGTGTTACGAGAAAACTGAATCAACCATTACGGCTTAGTATGTTTAAAAACTTAATTTCAATTCTATACTCGACTGGAAATTATCAAAATATTAATATTTTAGAAAACCACATTATACCTGCAGAATGTATTATAGCCATCCCATTTTGTATTTTGCATCTTGACGAATCAATATATCCAAACCCAGAAGTATTTAATCCCGATCGATTTTTACCAGAGCAGTGTAACGATCGACACCCATATGGATACCTGCCGTTTAGCGCAGGACCAAGAAACTGTATTGGTATGATATAAATAATAAACAAACTAATCTAACAAAATCTATTTAGATTGTCATTTTAAAAAATAATTGGGAATTACTGTTTTAACATTTTAGGTCAGAAATTTGCAATGTATCAAATGAAGACTGTAATATCAACGGTTGTTAGATACAAGCATTTGGAAACAATAGGAACACAAAAAGATATTGTTGTTTTACCACTGTTGGTATTAAAAGCTGACGCTTTGCCCAGTTTAAAAATAACACCTCTTTTCGAAAATCAAAGATCAAATCACTTGGTACTGTAGAAGACAGAAACATTAAAAAAAATATACTTTAGAACATTAGGCCCTCACATATCCTGTAGATTATAGTAATAATCAGTAGATAATAATAAAAGCAAATAATTTTTATTTAAATTAGTTAATTATATTTATTTGGTAAATTAATTTAATTCATCTTATATTAAAATGGCCATTGGACGATTACCTGTTTAGGACACTTCACCTTTTTCTTCCTACTTAAATATTTATCTATAAAAACAGCTGTTAGAGTAAATATCAAATACTTTTTACTTCATTTTATTAATTATCTATTTTATAAATTTTAAGCAAATTAATTTTAATAAAAAAAAAAATGGGCCAATTGTAAGAGTATTCAAAAAGTTTAATTATGTTTTCTGAAATGTATTAACCAGCTGACGCTTATAGTAAGTGAATAGCCTCGTATGTAATATTGCTAAGGCCAATAGAAATATTGCTTAGATAATAACACTGGTGTTCACACATTTCGGAACAAAGCTAATTCCGGTCTATCGACAGCCGAAAAATTACACGAAAACAATAATATTATTTTGTTATACATTAGTGAAGGACCTGTCGTTTTTGGCTTTCAAAAAAAAAATATAGAGAGTAATGCGACAATATCGACTAGAGTTTTGTGCTAAGCAACATGTCCCTCAGTCCTCCCCCTGAGATTAATTCCTTTAATTAGGAACACATGTCTATAAACAGAATGTTTATAGACCTAATAATGTTTGTCGACTGGGGTCTGAGTGGCGCACTAAGGGCCGATTTGTGTTTTTGCAAACATCATATTATATTACCAAGAGTGTTGAACGAGTACAATAAATTTGTAAGGTGGGTAATAGTCGAAACACAAAAAAAATACACAAGGTTAGAAGTTTAAGGTTACTGCTATAATTGAATAATACTTTTTATTTTACTTAATTATACATATTTTAATTTAATTTGATATTATTAACATATTATAATAGTGAAAATTTGCGGTAGTGATTATATAACATTTCATTTTTTGGTGGTCAAGATACGATTTAGAATAACAGATAAGGAATAATAAAAAACCATTAAAAATAGTGTGAACATCTTGCACAATAAACATATTAACCTTGTTAACATTTCTAAAATAAATTGCACATCATGGACAGTTTTAAATATTAAAATCTAAAAGATCTATACAACTTTACAGCCGAGTAGTAGAGCATAAGGAGGTACTGCAGCTGTAGTATAATAGTGATCATAAAGCGAAACACAAAAAAAATACACAAGGTTATAAGTTTAAGGTTACTGCTATAATTGAATAATTCTTTAATTTTTCCATAAACATTAATATTGAAATATGATTTGATGTTATACACATTATATGGGAAATAGTGAAAATTGACAGTAATGAAGAAATAATATGCTTATTGTTTGGTAGTTACGATACGATATAAAACAATAGATATTAAAAAAATAAAAAAATGTCGTGAAACTTCTAAAACAATGGACATATTGACCTTGTAAACATTTCTAAAATAAATTGCACATCATGGACAGTTTCAAAGATTAAAATCTAGGAAAAAAAAAAATTTAGGTTTTCGTAACCTTCTGTTTGTTAGTTTGTGCACGATCGTGAAGAAAACAATTTGAATTGATGCACGAATATCAATATTAATTTAAATTTATTAATAAATAATTAGGCATATTGTTTTTATTTAACAAATACAGAATTGACTACAATGGTCATTAGCTATTGTAAGGGTCACATACAACCCCCATAGTTGTAGTTTTGCATATATTTAATCAACATTTTAATGTATGAGTATTATGATAATTTATGAAAATTATGTGTAATAGTATTTTTAGGCCCTTTTTTTAATTTAAGAGTATTATGATAATTTACAAATAAATAAATAAACATTTTCTTACTCAACAACTTACATTGTGAATGCAACAGTGTGTGATTCCATACCATCGTTAACAGTTCTTTGATCCATAGTTAACTCGCAATGAACTGGTTGAGCATATTCTCTGGAGCTTTGGCTTCAGTTTCGAACATTTCTATAATAATATGGTTATTGCTTATCATATTACTAACTTGCAGACTCTACACAATATGCTATGACGAACGTGCGATCGAACGTAGAAAACAAATATCTCTACTACCGAGTTTAACGAAAACCTACTTGGAAACTATCAATTTTTTATGGCAAATAGCTAGTTTGAGCCCTCGAGGTAATATTTTTGTAATATATTAAGAATGTTTCAATTATTAGACGATGCTTAATTAAAAAAATGATTTGTTCTGATATAGCATTTACCAAATATTTTTTAATGGCTTTATGTCCCTTGCTATTAAAATATATTTAAAACATAAAACGTTTTTTAAATATTCCTTCGAAAATAAACTGTATAACGTACTCAGACAGAAACTGTTAACAAAAACTATGGATGAAAAAATTGGTAATCTTCTTATCCTCCTTACTTGAATTGTGAATGATTGTCTTAAATAGCAGGGAAATATATATAACTTTTACTATTGGAAATCATTTACTTTTATATTGTATTAAATAATAGTTTCTTAATAACTTGTTTGCCGATGACTTGAAAGTCTTTGATAGAATTGATTCAATAGCTGACTGTCAGTCTCTACAAAGTGAACTTAATGCTTTGATTACTTGGTTCAACTCAATTGGATTGCAGTTTAACTGTGAAAAGTGCCACTCAATGTCCTTTATGAGGTGTCGGTCTGCTATTATCTTTACCTATGCCATCAACAGCATTAGCCTAGAGCCGGTAAATAGCATAAAAGACCTAGGTGTCTTATTTGCCCCCGAGCTAGATTTCCACGCTATTGTAAGGTTCACATACAACCCCCAGAGTTGTAGTTTTGTATATATTTGATTACTTCTTTAATTTATGTGTATTATGATAATTTATGAAAATTACGTATAATAGTTATAAACTTAAATAATTTACATTTATATTAAAATATTGCAGTTCAATAAAATTGGATTTTCTTTGACATTGAGTTTAACATTCATTTTTGTACAAACGTATATTGTGAATGCAACAGTGTGTGATTCCATACCATCGTTAACAGTTCTTTGATTCATAGTTTTCTCGCAATGAACTGGCTGAGCATATTCTCTGGAGCTTTGGCTTCAGTTTCGAACATTTCTATAATAATATGGTTATTGCTTATCATATTACTAACTTGCAGACTCTACAAAATATATTATAACGAACGTGCGATCGAACGTAGAAAACAAATATCGCTACTACCGAGTTCAACAAAAACCTACTTGGAAACTATTAATTTTATATGGCAATTAGCTAGTATGAGCCCTCAAGGTAGTATTTTTGTTATATATTTAGAATTTTTCAGTTATTAGTAGATGCCTAATAAAAAAATGATTTGTTCTGATATAGCATAAACCAAATATTGTTTAATGGCTTTATGTCCCTGGCTATTAAAATATATTTTAAACATAAAACGTTTTTTAAATATTCCTTCGAAAATAAATTGTATAACATACTCAGACAGAAACTATTAACAAAAACTATAGACAAAAAAATTGGTATTCTTCTTATCCTCCTTACTTGAATTGTGAATCATTGTTTTAAAAAGCCAGGAAATATATATAACTTCTTACAAATGGTAATCCTTTACTGTTATATTGTATTTAATAATAGTTTCTTAATAACTTGAGTTGTACAGTTATATTAGTTACTTATTTCATAATTCACTGTAGTAAGTCATATAAATCAAGAGGATTGAATACAGTTTAAATTAATGTCCAATTCCCGGTAGAAATGATCAAATTTAGTAGACGTTTCAGGGGTCACAGGCAAATGTAAAAATCATGTAAAGTAATATACAATTAGTTATTTTTATTCACGTCCCTAGTATAAATCAATAAATATAAAGAATTATTCCGTTGTCGAAAATGTAATTACTCAACTGTCCGAAAATTTCAGATATAATACCCTATTTCACCAGCGTTCTTAAAAGTGTTGGACCATTAGTGTATTTCAATACTATAATACGTGACTACGTATTTATCAGCGATCCCGATGACATAAAGGTTAATATACATATAAAAGGACATATACGTTAATTACAACAATCTTCATTCTTAATACAAGAAAAAATGCTTTTTTATGCTATAGATATTATTGTCCAGTACTCAACATATTACCAAAGGACCGGAATACAGGGTGCTCGAACCTTGGTTGAACAAAGGGCTTCTGACCAGCACTAGTATGATCCATCGTCTAATTGCCTACATCGATTATATTGCGGTCGCTATATTTTATTATTAAATACTGTAATGTTCTAGATGAGAAATGGCAAACGCGAAGAAAGCTACTGACCAATACGTTTCATTTCAAAATTTTAGAAACATATATACCAGCTTTCAACAAGCATGCAAAAGGTTTAGTGCAAAACTTAGCCAATGCATCAAAGAATGACCTAATTGTCTCGAACTTAGACTCTCACGTGACTCTATGTGCATTAGATATTGTATGCGGTAAGTTGAGTTTTGCATTATCTACAGACTTTAAGGAGAGAGAGTGTTGATGTAGTTAAATCTGAGTACACGGCAGTGCGCTGGCGAAGTTCCAGCAATGCCAATGTACCTTTACACAAACCAATTCAACCAAGTTTTTCTTCAAAATTCTATCATTCATAAATCATATATTTGATGTTTGTTAGATTATACATACCGCTCTTGATTGATTTTATAGAAACGATACTGGGTGTGAGCTTGAGATCTCAAGAAGGACAATCCATCGATTATGTTAACGCAATAAAAACGTAAGTGTAATCAAGCAAAAAGTAATTTGTATGTATTACATTTATAACTATGCGTAAATACCTAAATGTAAAATTATGTATGATTAAATGTTTTGTTTTATTAGTGTGAGTCATATACTTATGAAAAGAATGTTTACCATTTGGCTTTTGAATAACACGATTTTCAAAATCAGTACTTTGGGTAGAAAATTTTTTAAATCGTTAAAAGTACTACATGCATTTAGTAAATATGTAATAAAAACACAATATTATCGACAGTCATACGCAACTTGTCATTCTTCTATTTTTAACACAAATCAAACTTTAGGTTATTCAACAAAGAAAACAAAAACTTAATTTTTCCGAAAACCCGATAACCGGAACTAAAGGAGACAGCAAAAAAGTACAATCATTCCTTGACCTATTAATCGGAATTTCCAAAGAACATCCAAACTCAATGACAGATGCTGACATTCAGGAAGAAGTAGATACTTTTCTATTTGAAGGACACGATACCTCTTCAATAGCTATGACAATGGCATTGATTCACATCGGCATGAATCAAAAAATCCAGGTGCTTAGTATATCTATAAATATATATTATCTGAAATGAAATATGAACATTTTTATACGTGAACTATTATTAATAATTAATCTTTTCATTTATTCAAGCATTTTTTAAGTAGATGAAGTAGTCAATTATAGGCAATTTTGTTGAATATTATCTCAATTTCAACTAAAGTTTCCGAAGTAATAAAATAATAACTAATATTATAAAAAATTATTCAATTTAACTATTTAATTGTTCATATTGAAATAAAAAAACTAATACTACTACCACGAATTTAGGGTAATAACAAATTTATCACATTTATTTTATCGAATTCCATCTCTAAGTTTTTTGATTAATCATAATAAGATAATATGTGTCTGTCAATATAGTCACATAGTTCTTTAAAAATAATGTGCAATAAATAAAAAAACTCTTATTACCTATTTTATATAACCGGTGATATTTATAGGAGGACATCCGAAAAGAGCTTCAGGGAATATTTGGTGACAGTGATCGAGATGCTACAATGGAAGACCTTAAATCCATGTCCATATTAGAAAGAGTAATAAGAGAAACCATGAGACTTTACCCCAGTGTTCCTGGTGTTACGAGAACACTGAACCAACCATTACAGCTTAGTATGTTAAAAAACTTAATTTCTATACTCGACTTAAAGTTATCAGCATATTAATATTCTAGAAAACCACACAATACCTGCACATAGTATTATAGGCTTTTCGATGTATATACTACATCGTGACGAGTCAATGTATCCAAACCCAGAAGTATTTGATGCCGATAGATTTTTACCAGAGCAGTGTAACGATCGACACCCATATGGATACCTACCATTTAGCGCAGGACCGAGAAACTGTATTGGTATGATATATATAATTAACAAATGAATCTAACAAAACCAATTTGGATTAACATATTATAAACCATAATTAATTACTGTTCCAGGTCAAAAATTTGCAATGTATCTAATGAAGACGGTACTATCAACGGTTGTTAGACACATGAAATTGGAAACACTGGGAACACAAAAAGATATTGTTGTTTCTACACAGTTGGTATTAAAAGCTGATTCGTTGCCCAGTTTAAAATTAACACCACTTTTCGAAAATCATAAGAAAGAAGTACCTGGGTCGCTGTAGTGGAGTTATTCTTATATATACTTTTATGTATAAGCAGTTGTGGTTAAGGGATATTTATGTATTTTTTAGTATAAAATATTATAACATCACGAGTGTAGCTTGAGTTATTTCTAAATATGTTTATTTTGTATTTCAAAGACGTTTTTTATGTCTGATTATAATAATTATCTTATATATTTTTATGAAAAACAAAACATTTGAAACCAAAATGAGTAGCTATACAAAAAAAATGGTTAAGATTGTAATATTGCTTTACTTATTATTTATAGTAAAATATTTTAAATTGTGACCTAATTTGTCGAAGTCCGTTTTATTTCAACAAAAAAAACACAACAAATGGAGCACAAGTTGTCAAAATATAATTAATTAAGTTAACCACATTATACCTGCAGAATGTATTTTAGCCATTCCATTTTCTATAATTTATCTTCTATCGACAACTATATAGTTACATGCCGTTTAGCGCAGGATCAAGAAACTGAATTGGAATGATATAATTATTAAACAAATTAATCTAATAAAAACTATTTAGATTGTCATTTTATAAAATAAGTGGGAATGACTGTTTTGACTTTTTAGGTCAGAAATTTGCGATGTATCAAATGTAGTCTGTAATATCAACGGTTGTTAGATACACGAAATGGGAAACAGTAGGAACACAAAAAGATATTATTGTTTTACCTTTGTTGGCATAATAAAGTTGATTGTTTTTTCCAGTTTAAAAATAACACCACTTTTCGAAAACCATGGGTCAAATCATTTAGTACTGTAGAGGACAGAAACTTTCAAAAAACTATATATCTATATATATATATATTTATATATATTTATATGTACGTATTTACCGAAAATCGAGCAGAGAGTAAAGGTAATCCTAATCTTGGAAAGCCTTAGGAAATATTTTTATATTGTACACCACGGGACATTCATCGTCGCTGTAATGTAATGAAAATATTGAATGTTAAAACAGACGTTAACATTTACTGACTTCCAGATGGTTAAACCATAGGTTATCATAGATCTTAATAGAGTTTTGTACAGAATGAGTTTGTGCGATCATAATACACTTGATTTTAGCACTGGTCTCAGAGGTATTCTGTAAGTCACACTAGTATAACAGAACATAGTTATACACATCTACGTGGTTTAGAAATTAAAATCATTTTAATAGTTCAATAGCTGTTATTGGTATAATTCTTATATTCTATGATTGTACACGTATGGTAATAATTTACGGTTAAAAGCTCTATCAAACATCAAAACTCTTACGGTAAAGTTTAATATACTAAATTCATTTTTTTTTTTATTTTAAGAATCTTTTGTTGACAATTTCGACTGAAGCTATGTGTTGAGCATCCCTCAGCCTTCTCCTTGGAATTAATTCCTTTAATTAGGAGTACATGTCTACAAACAGAATGTTTGCATGTTGGATTCTGCACAAATCCCATAAATACCTAACAACATTTTTCGACTGGTATCTGAGTTTCGCAGTACGGGCCTATCTGTTTTTTAGCAAACACCATATGATATTGCAAAGGATACATTTAGGGTACATTAAAATGTATAAAGTGGGTAATAGTTGAAACACACAAAAAAAAAAAAAAAATAACACAAGGTCAGAAGATAACAGCTATATTTGAATTATTTTTTAATTCCTTAATCATTAATATTTAAATTCAATTTGATATTATACACATTATAAGGAAAACTAGCAGTAGTGAATACTTAATATGTTTATTGTTTGGTGGCGGCTATACGATTTAGAACAATAGAAATTAGGAATTATAAAAAACAAAAAAGTCGAAACACAAATAACAAATACACAATGTCAGAAGTTTTAAGTTACAGCTATAATTGAATAATACTTTCATTTGTACTTAATTATTCATATTTAAATTCAATTTATTTTATACACACTATAAGGGAAATAGTGAAAAATTGCGGTGATTATTACATAATATGCTTATTGTTTGGTGGCGGCGATACGATTTAGAACAATAAAAATTAGGAATAATAAAAAACATAGTTGTGAAACTTCCTTAACAATGGACATATTAACCTTGTTAACATTTCTGAAATAAATAACACGCTTTATGAACGGTTTTTACTATAAAAACCTATAAGATCTATATACAACTTTACAGCCGAGTAGTAGAGCATAAGGAGGTACTCTAGCTGTAGTATAATAGACCATTAAGCATTTCGAGTTAGAAGAATACTCAGGACTGCCCATACAATACACAAGAGTTTGAATTGAAAAATTATTTGATTTTTTCGACTACAATGGTCATTAGCTATTGTAAGGTTCACATACAACCCCCATAGTTATAGTAAAGATATAAAATCTACTTGAGCACTAAACCATAAAAATTATACACGTGTACGCAACAAGTGTATAATTTTTATGATTTAGGGTTCAAGTAGATTTTATATCTTTACTATATATTTAACAATAAGTTTGATTAACAGTTTTTTTCCATAGTTATAGTTTTACATATATTTGATCTCTATTTTAAATTTTGTGTATTATGATAATTTATGAATATTATGTATAATAGTAGTAAATTTAAATAATTTACATTTATATTAAAATATTGCAGTTAATTAAAATTGGGTTTTTTTTGACATTGAGTTTAACATTCATTTTTGTACATACGTATATTGTAAATGCAACAGTGTGTGATTCCATACCATCGTTAACAGTTCTTTGATCCATAGTTTTCTCGCAATGAACTTGCTGAGCATATTCTCTGGAGCTTTGGCTTCAGTTTCGAACATTTCTATAATAATATGGTTATTGCTTATCATATTACTAACTTGCAGATTCTACAAAATGTATTATGACGAACGTGCGATCGAACGTAGAAAACAAATATCTCTACTACCGAGTTTAACGAAAACCTACTTGGAAACAATCAATTTTATATGGCTCGTCTCTAGTATGAGCCCTCAAGGTAGTATTTTTGTTATATATTTAGAATTTTTCAGTTATTAGTAGATGCTTAATTAAAAAATGATTTGTTCTGATATAGCATAGACCAAATATTGCTTTATGTCCCTGGCTATTAAAATATATTTTAAACATAAAACGTTTTTTAAATATTCCTTCGAAAATAAATTGTATAACATACTCAGACAGAAACTATTAACAAAAACTATAGATAAAAAAGTGGTATTCTTCTTACCCTCCTTACTTGAATTGTGAATCATTGTCTTAAATAGTCAGGAAATATTTATTACTTTTTAATATTGAAAATCATTTACCATTATGTTGTATTAAATAATAGTTTCTTAATAACTTGAGTAGTACAGTTATAGTAGGTACTTATTTCATAATTCACTGTAGTAGGTAAGTCAAATCATACAATTATAACTCAACAGGATTGAATACGGTTTAAATTAATGTCCAATACCCGGTGGAAATTATCAAATTTAGTCGTCGTTTCTGGGGTCACAGGCAAATGTAAAAATCATGAAAAATAATATAATTAGTTCATATAATTAGTATCATATAATTAGTTATTTTTATTCACGTCCTTAGTATAAATCAATTATTATCAAAAATTATTCCGTTGTCGAAAATGTAATTACTCAACTGTCTGAAAATTTCAGATTTGTTACCCTATTACACCAGAGTTCTTAAAAATATAGGACCATTAGTGCATATGAATACTATAATACGCGACTACGTACTTATCAACGATCCCGATGACATAAAGGTATACGTTAGTTACAACAATCTTCATTCTTAATACAAGAAAAAATGCTTTATTATGCTATAGATATTATTGTCTAGTACTCAACATATTACCAAAGGACCGGGATACAGGATGCTCGAGCCCTGGTTGAAAAAAGGGCTTCTGACTAGCACTAGTATGATCTATCGCCTAAATGTCTACATCGAATATTAAGCGGTCGCTATATTTTATTATTAAATATTGTAATGTTTTAGACGAGAAATGGCAAACGCGAAGAAAGCTACTGACTAATACATTCCACTTCAAAATTTTAGAATCATATATACCAGCTTTTAACCATCATGCAAACGGTTTAGTGCAAAGCCTTGCCAAGGCATCGAAAAACAATGAAATTGACTTACACTCGCACGTGACTCTATGCGCATTAGATATTGTATGCGGTAAGTTGCTCTTCTGTTTATTGATTTTATTGATGGTATTTTTTTAAAACATAGGTGTAACAATAAATAAAGTCACCTATGTCTGGTGACAGTGATATAATTGGTTAAAGAAATGAGGAGTGACGCTGGCATTAATTTAATGAAGAGTAGTTTATGATTTCCGAAAAAGAATTATAGATGTATTTCTTACAAAAATTTAATCACTGCATACCAATAACATTTTTCATCAATAACTATGCCCCAACCCCACCATAATCCGTCCCACTATAGTTGTTCGTACCCATTGTAAAGAAGTTTTACTTCAAAATACTATCATTCTGAAATCATATATTTGATGATTGTAAAATTAAAATATACCGCTCTTGATTTATTTTACAGAAACAATGCTAGGTGTCAACGTGAGATCACAAGAAGGACAATCCATTGACTATGTTAAAGCAGTAAAAACGTAAGTGTAATCAAGCAAAAAGTTATTTGTATAAATTACATTTATTACTCTGCTTAAGCTTACCCAAGTGTAAAATTAAGATTAATTAAATGTTTTGTTTTACAAGTGTAAGTCATTTAACTATGAAAAGAGTATTCACAGTTTGGCTTTGGAGCGACACGATTTTCAACGTCAGTACTTGGGGTAGACAATTTTATAAATCGTTAAAAGTACTACATGAATTTAGTAAAAATGTAATAAAAACACAATATTATCGACAGTCATGCGCAACTTGTCATTGTTCTATTTTTAACACAAATCAAACTTTAGGTTATTCAACAAAGAAAACAAAAACTTAATTTTTCCGAAAACCCAATAGCCGGGACTAAGGAAGACAGAAAAAAAGTATATTCATTCCTTGACCTATTAATCGGCATTTCCAAGGAACATCCAAACTCCATGACAGATGCTGACATTCAGGAAGAAGTAGATACTTTTCTAT